CCTCCTAATGCACCCCAGGATTCCATTGGCCTTCTTGGCAACCAGGGATTTATGCACACGTATTTATGCAGAGATTTCTTTCCAGAGGTTTTCAAACAAATCATTGTTTCAGGGCCAAAAATACCTCACTTTTTGATTAACAACCGGTTTTAAAATCTGCTTTACTACTTCTAATTCATATTTGAGCCCTCCTAATGTGTTGCTATTCTATCATTCCAATAGCAGTCCAGTTACAATAAAGATGCTTTTAAGATGATAATTTCCGTAGAAATTAAGTCTTCTACAGAGCATACAGTTCCTTTATCTTCACCATTTAATTAAAATTACCACAAACGCAGACTTAACACCTACAAAATTCCTGCGTCACAAACACAGTGCATGAAGTAGCTTATGTTGACACATTAATATCAATCATTCGTTTAAAATAAAAAGGTCTCTTTCTTCTGAGTCTAGGCATGCTTTTACACATTTATTCACAGTGTTTAAGTAAGCAGCACATGGTTTTGGGTTTCGGAAGCAGGTTTCCATGTAACTTTTAGACAATTTTTTAGATGGTATTTCAGGGATTGATTATTTTATCTCTGCTTACATTCTGAGTTTTCTTTCCCTCTTCTTTTCTCGCTGTTTTCTGTTCAGAAGTGAAAAATGACAAATGAAAGTTCATGATAGAGAATGGTCCCTGAAGGTACTGCAGCCTCTGAGCAATGGTTTCCTTTCACTACACCCTCAATAAAGGCCAAAGTGAAAAAGGAGTGGCTTTGGCTTAAAAAAGGGCACACAAGACTGATTTGTTGATGTAGTTTTGTTTCATAATACTAAACAGGATCCAAATGAAGATACTGAATGGAATGACATACTGAGACATTTTGGAATTCTTCCCCCAAAAGAAAAACCGAAAGATGAAATTGAAACAGTTTTACACTTGCAGAAAGAAGCCGAAGGCAAGTAAAATTAAAAATACATGCCACTAGTGTAACAAAATTTGAAAAGCAGAGGTATTTTCAATAATGCCTTTTGTAACTTAAACATTGTACCTACTGTACTACCTGAAGGAAGGGTGTGAAGAAGACTGATCCAGGCTCTTCTCAGTGACACCAAGTGACAGGACCAGAAGCACCAGGCATAAACTGAAACACAGGAGGTTCTCTCTGAACATCATGAAACCCTTTTGACTGTGAGGGTGACTGAGCACTGGCACAGCTTGCCCACAGAGATACTCAGAAACCATCTGGACATGTTCCTGGGCAACCTGCTCAAGGCTGACCCTGCTCGAGCAGGGGTTTTGAATCGGATGAGCTCTAGAGGTCCCTTCCGACCTCAGCCACGCTGTGGTTGTGTAGCTCTGTCATACACCATATCCTGTTCTCAGGCAGAACTGTGGCACTACCTTATTCAACTATTTAACAGGAGTACACCGATTTTACTTACAATACCATGCAGAGTCGATAAGCTTTATGAATGCAGGTTCAGAAAACTTTGGCAGCTTGTGTGGAGCCTGAGTAATTTTAGCTATACTGGTGTCCTGGTTTCGGCTGGGATAGAGTTAATTTTCCTTCCAGTAGCTGCTGTGGTTTGGATTTAGTAGGAGAACAATGTTGATAACACTGATGCTTGCAGATGTTGCTAGGAAATCAAGCACTTTTTCCAGTTTCTCACATTCAGCTGATGATCAGGTGTGCGGGAGCTGGGAGGGAGCACGGCCAGACAGACAGCCCGGCTGTCCAGCGGAAATATTCCATACCGTGGACGTCATGCTCGGGTTAGGAATGGCTGGCTGGGGAGCAGGAATCTTTGTTTTCCTTTCTCTTTTCCTTGAGTTTGAATCCTCTCTGGTCTGTGAGTTCGAACTTTTCCATGCGTTTGTTCTTTTTCGGGAGTCTTGCAAAATTGGTGAAACTTGCGACTTCTGGGTTCCACGATTGCCGCTCGGGGACTAGCTGCAAATCAGTCATCGGGTGGTGAGAAAACTGTACTGTGTAGAGTTTGTTTGGCATATTCACTATTACTATTAGTAGAAGTATTAGTATTGGTATTTACTTTGTTGTCCTATTAAACTGTCTTTACCTCAACCCACGAGTTTTCCCTTTTGCCCATTTCTCCCCCCCAGCGGGATGGGGGGGAAGGGGAGGGGTGAGCGAGCGGCTGTCTAGTGCCGAGTTGCCGGCAACGTACTCTGCTGAGTTCTGCAGAGCTTTGTACTATGGTAAAGAAAAACGAGACATGCAGTTTACACAGAACAAAACTGTAAATAAGAACAAAACATTTCCTCTGTCTACATTCTACCTGCACTCACTGCTTCTGCATTGTTAAAATGCCTAAAATAATCCTAGTGCTAACACTATGTATCTAGTGCTGTATGCTCACAGGAAGGTAATAATTCACATCATTATGTGGAAGGTTGGAGGACCTAAAGAAAGAACCTAAATTTTCATGCATTGTTGCTAGAGTATAATAACATTGCACATACATTAATTAATCTTTTTTGAAAAAGCCACTTCAATAGTGGCTTTCAGTTAGTAAAATTAATAGCTACTTTTAGTTCAACACATCTCAGTGAGGCATTTTCCTCCTCTACATTGCAAGTATTTTTATAGATGAAGACTGCCATCTACTGCTTTTACATTCCAATTTTCACAAACTATTTTAAAAATATCTCGTAAATATAAGTACTGGTAGTTCTTACTCAAACTTATCTCATTTTCAGAATCATAAAAACAATTAGCACATGCTTTGATTTTTCTTGCTTTGTCTCAAATGATAAATCCTTGTGCAACATGCTTGTTACTAAGGTTTTCCAAATCTGATACTGATGAACACTAAAGTTAGGAAAATGTATATTAATGTTCTCTTTTATCACTAAAATGTAGTGTAGAAGCCTTTCTATCTATGAAATCATGTTTGAAGACCTTGAGCTAAAGGGTTACTCAGAGCATTTTTTAAAGGAATTGAAAGAAATGCAATATTATTTTAAAATAAGATATTAAAATGCATTTTAAATGTTCCAAAGATGCTTATTTTTATTATTATTTTTTAATTAGGCAGCAACGCTTGCAAGAATGGAAATGTCTTCAGAGGAGGCAAAAGTATGGGGAGCTAAGAGAAATTTGTGGAGAGCAGTATGTAAAGGAAGTTACAGATGCTCCAGAGGATGTCTGGGTTATAATTCATCTTTATCGGTCAAGGTAATTACTTTCTTGTTTAAGATGTTGAATACTTCAATAATAGATTATTGAAATGGTAATTAAAAAGCAATACGAAGAAAAATAAAATACAATAGACTAATGAAATAGCAGTTCTTCAGAGGCAATGGGATCACAGAGCACGGAACCTGCTTGATGTGTTAATTCATTTTGCGAGAGATAATCACTTCGCTTTTGTTCAATTATATGAAAGACTTACTTTGCTACGCGTGCTTGTGACCACTACTGAACCTGACTGAGATTTCTGAATTTCACTGACAAAGCAGTGCCCACTGTCTGCGTTAAGGGAAGTTCGTTGGCAGACTCCTTTCTCGGCAGAAGCGCTCTAACAGGATTACTCCAGCTTTTCCTGATTTTTCACTGGTTTTGCTTACTGGAGAACAAATTCTATACTTTACCTCTGCATAAAAACAAGTCTGTGAGGAAACTCGTAATTCCTTAGGAATGGATACGAGATCTTCAAAGTCTCCCGTGGCTGGTGGTCAGTCCTGCTCTTCCAAAAGGGCCTCGCCTGTCTTTGGCCAGGAGAGGGTGCTGATGGAACTCGTCGAGGGTCCACAGGCTGAATCGGCTGCTTCAGACAGTCACAAAAAAGTTAACCGGCTGGAAGGGAACAAAAAAACACGTTTTTTGTTGTGTGCTTTTTAACTGAGGTTTATATGGTGGCTGTATTGCAAACAGCAGCTATGAGAGTAACGAACAGGCCTATGGCGGTAACACGACTACACAAAGGTTTCCCTGATGTTACTTAGATTTTACGAAAAGCATGAACTAATTAAATGTTGAACTGAATGCCAGTTCAAATAAATTAATGGAAAATGTGTATTATAATTTTAAAATCTCATTTAAACTCTACAATAAATAGACAAATTGAGCTTTATAATCTTAGTGGAGAACAAAATTGAGGCACAATGCTTAAAGCATCTGGTAGATTTACTGACATCTTCTACAGACTGTGTCTATCATGTAGGCACTGAAAATTTTTACTTCGACAGCTCTTTAAATCCCAATGATCTTAGAAGCTAAATAAAATTTGTGGTGGAATTCTTATCACAAATTAAAGTAGAATCCAACTAAAAGAAAAGGTACATGCATTCTTCAAAGGCTTTACTTTTCCTAAGTTTAGCTATTTTGCAAATCATTTGCCCTGGAAGTGTCATCGTACTTTCTTAACCTTCTCCAGCATCCCAATGTGTTTACTGGTTAACGAACATCTCAGCCTGCTAGCCAGGAAGTTTCCAGAAGTCAAGTTTCTCAAAGCCGTCGTAAACAGCTGCATTCCGAATTACGAGGACAGATGTTTACCCACAATACTGGTATACAAAACTGGTGGAATAAAAGGCAGGTTCATTGGAGCAGCTGAATGTGGGGGAATGTATCTTAAAGTGGAAGGTATGAGAAACATTTTTAAACAGTCACATTACAGAAAACTTTATGTGGTTTGTAATCCTCAGATCTAAAGATCATTGCTTAAAGGTGGAAAAGGTTTTTATTATTTTAGTAGAAAAAAATGCTATAAAAAGCAAAAAATTTATTTCTGGTCTTTTGCCTCTGAAGTGCCAATTTAGTGCAATTACCAGAATAAATCGTAATTTGCTTTTACAGAGCTTGAATGGAAACTAGCAGAAGTCGGAGCAATGGAAACCGACCTAGAAGAAAACCCCAAAAAGGACATTACAAATATGATGACACTGTCAGTGCGAAATATTTCTGCTCATCAAGACACCGATACAAAAAGCACTGATGTCATGAAACCACGTATTACTTGAGAAAATTTTAATGCAGACCATCTGTTCTGACATTAATTAGCTCAAATGCAGGTTCTTACCCCTTTGGTAAGCCTAAACAATTAAAAAAAAATAAAGGTGCTTTTGTTTCACTTGCATATTTTTTGGGGTTTGATTTTTGGAAGAAAATTGATGTAGTAAGTGAAAGCCATACTTACCTTTGCATCCTTACAGATGGCTGTCATTGACAGTGAGGGCCTGGGTTCTCTGTTTCATCCAGACGCTGCTTAAATGGAAAGGGAAGGGGAGGATATTAGCTGGTGGGCTCTAATCCATACGTTCTTCCACCGTTTATCCAGCCTGGGTGCAAGATACTCCTTTAATCCTCAGTGAAATGACTGTAGTGGAACTCTGCTCTGCTAAGTTACTCGGTTCCCCCCATTGAAAAGGTGATCCAAAGACAATGATGTGCACAGTGATATAAAAATCAGGATTTGGCCCCGAACCCATTGACTAGTAGTTCCATTTCTTTGACAGGTGTTCAGGTATTTCCTCCAGTCTCAAGGATTATCTTCCCACTGCTTCACAATACTGACAGTTGGATCAGTTGTTCCTTCCGAACAAAAATAAGTATATCCTTAACAAAATAGCTTCCAGCACAGCTGTAGATAAGCAAAACCACACGAGTGAATGGACTACGCTCCTGATTCAGCATGTTTATTTATTATGAGTAGTGAATCATATTGTATAGTATTGTTATTTTTCCAGTGACTCATCATAAAAAAAAAAACCAATCTCAATGTGCTAATGAAGACTTAGTTATATACTGCTGACATGGTTTATAGCGTCAGGATGCGGAACAACACAGAAACAGTTCACTTAACACTCGGCACACAAATACCCAAGAAGTAAAAAGAAAATTAACATTAACCACTTTTTTTTTCACCTAGTAGGACACAGCTGTGCTATTAGTAGATACCCACTGGCAGATACCACTCCTAGAAACTTTCATTTTGCAGATCCAGAGAGATAGCCACTAGACGCATTTCAGAGAGAATGGCTTATCTTCCGTTACCTGCCACTTCAAACTAGACAGCTAACTCGTAGTTTTTACACCCTTTGTGGGAAAAGGGTCTAGGAAGGAATGTTGGTCAACCTTGCTTTACAAGCATTATGTAGATTGCGACAGGCTTTAAAGTCTGCACCTTTGTTGAAGCCACCGATTTTAGTCTTCTGGAGTGGTGTGAAATTTAGTTTCAAAACCAGCTTCCTCAAACAGACCCTCCTGAATATGCCAGGGGGGTTCAAAAAGGAACGTTCTGAGCAGACGACTGTTCTGGGGCTCCGAAGCGATTCACCCACAGACGGTGATGACAGCTCTGTAGGAAACATTGCTATAGTTAATGGAAGGGTAGTGTCTGGGGCTCCGAAGCGATTCACCCACAGATGGTGATGACAGCTCTGTAGGAAACACGGCTGTAGTTAATGGAAGGGCAGTTGAAATTTCTGCATTTCTGGCCCAATCTAGTGCCATCATTCAATAATTCGCAAAAGATTCGCTGCTCGTAATTTGGCAATGTCTGAAAATCATGTTGGCTTTCATGTAAGTTTTGTGACCGAACCAGAACTATCCTTATACATCACAGCAAGCTCACATGAAGAGCTATAAAAATAGTATTTCTAGGTGGAGAATAGTTCCATAAAACCATCACACCATTTCTAAGCTTTCTGCCCTGCTCCCTCAAGAGCCTTTAAAATACTTTCAAGAGAGAAGCAGCACTAAAAAGAAAAAAAAGACCTTGGCTAGGCCATAACCTTGACAGAAAATGCAAACGTGTGTGATCTCCACAGCTATGTTGCCCGTTTTGATCTCATCAAATCCCAAAATGTAGGATGTGTAAGCCACAAAGAGTAATTTCCTACTGCAGCGCTGCAGTAGGTAGGTGTTACGTGCCCATACATGCAGGGCATGAAGGGAAACAGTATGGTATCTCTATTTTTCTGAAGAACTACTAATGGTTACTAAAGATCTTTTGGCAAATCTGATACTTACATCTTGATGCTGTTTTTAGTCTCCTGGTTTCTTGCCATAGTCTAGTTCTAGTAATTACGCATTTCTGTTGAAAATATTCCTGCATTTTCCGATGGATTTCCAGTTCCTGCTGCGTCCTATTATCTTTACCACTTTTCATCACAGGAACATCACCCTTTGCATGAGTAATTAAATGGTTAGTTTTGTTCATCTCACATTTTCCTCAACTAAAAGCTAGAGTATTATGCATCAGTAAGTAACAAAAATAAGTGTTTTCACTAATGCTTTTTAAAATTCTCCCAGTGGACAAACTGAGCTCATGGTTAGCTCTTCAGCAGCCCCACCGCTGTCCCTTCAATAGCTTTGCATAAGACTTCGGTCACAAGGTGAATCAAACGGGGAAACCCATCTACCTGAAAAGTAAGCCAGAAAGAAAAATCCATGAGATTTTGCAGCCAAGTTCCTTACTTCACTCCAGACACAAACACTAATTAAGCTTTTACAGATACACATTTGTAATTACGCTTTTAGACACATTGCTGTTTAGATCAACTGAAAAATCAACATCTTTATAACCAAGAAAAAAAATTGGGAATATTTACACACTATTACCACTGAGCAATGTTTTCTTTCACAGGCAACAGTTCATTGCTATGTTGTGCTGTATGCAGAACAGGTTTTTGCTAATATAATCACTGCACATTTAAGCATATTCTAGTCCTGCAGCAGGCAGCACGGCTGGAATCCGTTAACAGTTGGACATAAAGACTGTGCAGTGTCAGTCAGCAGTCTCTCTGATTAGCTCTGATACCTGATGCTGTTGGTATTTATTAGCTGGGCTGTTTCACAAATTTCTCTGCATAGTCAATAATACAGGCACATCTTACAGTTTTTATGAGCTTTACCAATGCACACAAAAGAATGCTAGCTTTTATTCTCAGAGATAGCCTGCAAAGTCCTACTACAGCTGTGTCTTCCTGTGCCAAAACAATACATTTTCCAAACAAATCCACACCTCCTCACTGTGTAGTCTGCCTAACAAAAATACTTCAGTCCCATACCGGGCACTTTGGTTTATCAGGTTCATAATTACCCTTTCATATTGCAGCCACAGGAACAAACCCAAACTGTAACAACTGGCAAATGAGAAGAATGCACATAAATTGCTGCTTTTCAGTCAGAAAGCAGGAAAATTCCTCGCCGTGAGGGTTCCATCAGCTTGGTGGTCCAGAAATCTCTCCGACTTCAACAGCCAATGTTGGTACTGTACAATACAAATGGTATAAACAGTGCAAGGTTAGTTCAGTATTTTAAAAGTTATAGGATTTTATTAGGTGCTGGGGTTTTAAACTTTTAGGGTGATTTCTTATTTTTAACGTTAATTAAAAGCATCGTACACAGACAGAAGGATTGAGATAGTCAAGCCTGTTCCCTCCTCCGCCAAGTTCTACCGGTTTACGCACACCGACAGCAGAACCGCCAGGACGGGTCGCTTCTCTCCCTAAATAACTCGTCCGTCCCCGGAAAGCACCCGTGAGGCTGCTCATTCCCCCGCCGGGAATGAACGTGTGGCC